GGAACCCAATTTCCTTGCTTTTGTACCTTACCAATGGTCTTGAGACGGTGTGAAATCGCTTGTTGAGTCACTCCCAAGTTTTCTGCTAGCTGTTCTTGAGTTTGGCATGAGTCTTGGTCCAATAATGCCTCTAACTCAGCGTCTTCAAACTTTACTAGCCTTCCTTCGCGTTCTTTATGTTCCACGTCAAACTCGCCATTTTTAAACTTTTGAAACCACTCACAACTTCTTTCACTTAAAGCAGCATCACTGTAAACTTCTACAAGCGACCGATGCGCCTCAGCAGCAGATTTCTTTAAATGAAAGAAATAAATCAAAATTTCCTGCAAATGACGCTTATTCGGTACAAAACTCGACATTTTCGAACGAAAAAAATGTATACTGCCAATACAAAGTCAATAGTATTTTAAGGTTATGTTGTTGCCAGGTGTCCAAACTTTTTATATGATGTTTTACATCTGCCGATTTCAAAGTAATCTTGTTGGTGGAGCCATCTTTTGAAAAAGGCGGAAANCTAATAACAAAATAATATAAACTTATTCGATTTTGAACGTTGTTACAAATTCACTAATTGATATCTACTTGAAACTTTTGTGAATATGCATTTGAATATGCACTGTTTCGGATCAAGCTGTTAACGATCAGTTATGCTGGATCCGTCCAATTTTGTTCGCAAAAGTAAAGTGTCGCAGATGAGATTATAGAGGAAAGAGCGGCAGGATTGGCGAAGTTAAGTTTCAATATATGAAGAACATTAATTGTCAAATAACTTTAATAAATAAACCACAAGAGAAACAATAGAGAATGCCCACGAATCAAAGGAATAAAAAGAGGAAAGGGAAAAACGCTGAGTTTTTATAAACGGAAATCTTCTGCTGACGTGATGTTGTTCTTCGATTTCGTGATGGAGATTTTAGATAGCGGAGTAATTGCCACCATTCGCAATGAAGATCTTGAACACAAACGAGTTCGGAAATCTTGTCCACGTAGGTTTGTTATTGAGTATAATTAGGTGGTCGTATTATACTTCCCAACAAATTATAATTAATATTTTTTCGAACTAATCGAGTGCGAAATGAAAATATTTTAGAGACATCGCTTAACCAGAATTATAGGATCAACAAACGATGACCGAATGGAGAGCACGTCAAAATGCTCCCACATGCGATGATACCTGCCGAAAAACTGACTTTGGCGACAGTTATACCTGGCTGGTTTAGGCGACCAATTAAACGCGGCAATCTTCAAAAAGGGCTAACGAGTAACCAGCTGATTGGGTATAATCTATTTACTAACATGTTTTTTTTATTAATTCGATAAGAGCGAGCATACGCTGCCACGTTGATATTATTAACTCTTAGCTGACACACGGGGTTAAAAGTACCCCAGAGTGTTTTTGAATTTTGGGCTTCATAAGCAGTTTAATCCTTTAACAGAGACTTCAAAAAACATATATAAAAATTTTCAAATAAAAATATTGATAAATAAAACAATTATACACATTTTTTCTCGCTGTCCAAAATACCCCCTATAGCACGTACGTTATTATTTTGACGTGTGTCAGCTAAGGGTTAAGCGTCTGGGCTCGTGCTTTGCTCGCATCCTTTCATCAGATTTAAGATTTATTATTAATCGCTTGTTGATATTATAACTTGCATTGGTCAAGAGCGGTATATAGGCATAATCAATATTTCTTCTCAAATATTCGCCGATGTTCGAAACTTGAACATGCCGCCTACCTTCGAAATTTTAGTTTCGGACGATTTAATTTTGTGCATTCTGACATTATCAGGAATAGTGGTACCGCGCTTTAATCCCGCTGTAACGCTTTTCGCCTCTTTGGTGAGTGTTTTGAGCAACGTGAGTCTCTCGCTTGTATTTGTTGCTAAACTACAAAGCGTTCCGCCCTTATGCCGCTGAACGTGACTTGATATACCGATAAATGATTAAAATGAAATACATTAACGAAAACTATAAACGTAAAGTAAGGTCTCCCCTTCTTCTATTTTTACTCGCCAGTCGTTTCGCTTTCGACTGATAGGATATAGTTTGACAATCGGTCGCTTGTACTCGAACGTAACCGTCTTAAAACTAACTATTTGCATTAATCATTATCCGCCTGACATTGTGTTATCCTCCCAAGCTCCCATTCACAAGGTGATAGCGTATTATTGCGGAGAATAATAAGTTGTCCTATCTTGATCGGAGATTTACTTTTGCACCACTTCGCTCGCTGCTGTAAAGTGTTAACGTAATCTGTCTGCCAGAGCCGCCACAATCGTTCCGTTACATGGCGGACTAACTGCCGACGCGAAAGTCGATTTTCGTGTAGGTCTAATATCGAAGGTTCTGAATTCACAGTGAGAGTTGAACCAATCAAGAAATGCCCAGGCATTAGGCTTTTATAATCATCAAGAGCGTCAGCTAGGGTTGCGATTGAACGCGAATTGAGGCATGCTTCTATTTTGCATAATAGAATAGGGAACTCTACGAACGTTAGAGTATTTCGACTGAATACGCGACGCAAATTATACTTTACACTACGTACGCCCCCTTTCCACAGTCCTCCGAAGTGTACGGCCAAAGAGAAGATAACCTTCTATGTAATAATATCAGATTCAGTAGTATTCAGAAAATGTCCGAAATCTCGAGGTTAATTTTTGGTCTGCTCCCACAAAATTTGTGCCGTTGTCCGATTGTATAATTTGTGTGAAGATTTCACAATTTTGTACACGGCGTGAATTTCTTACTCTTAAAAACTCTTTTTTTGTTGACTCTGAATCAGTTGCTCGCAAGTAAAAAATCGCTTTTCTACGTCTCTCTGTTTCAGTTCATAAGGCACTCAATTGTCTTGCTTGTGAATTATTCCCATGGAATTCAATCGTACGGAAACTATTTGTTGCGTAACTCACAATGATTCTGCAAGCTACTCTTGCGTTTGACTCGGATCTTCATCGAGTAATGCCTCCAATTCTTGGTCTTCGAATTTTTTTGTTTGTCCAAAGCGAGGCTTGTCTTCAACGCTGAAATCACCATTTTTGAAACGTCGAAACCATTTCCTACATGATTTATCAGTTGGAGCATTGTCACCATAAACTTCTACAAGCATTCAATGCGCTTCAGCTGCACTTTTCTTTCAATTAAAGCAGAAATATAAAACCTCTCGAAAATGCTGCTTAATTAACATAAAATTTGACATATTCAACACAGTAAAAAACAGGGATTTTGTGCGAAACTCAAAGCGATATAAACTGAATATTATTGACAGATGTCTAACTTCTCTGAAACCACCGAAATCAGCTGTCATTATAAAACATTCATAATAGCCAGAGCCATCTTTTGAAAACGGACTGTACTAATTTGTACTTCCAATAGAATAAACTTGAATACGTGGAACATGCCCTAACTCTTGATTACTAAACTTATTATTCACCAGTACAAAAAAGAAACGAAACCTGTCCCGGTTTCCATGTAATTCGGAGAATTTTTACACACTTGTCATTTTCAAAGAGCATGTCATGCCAAGCATGCTTTTGATTTTCGATATTAGCGAGAAACGCTGACGAATTATTTGCTCACTTTCGGATTTCGAATTCTCTTCGGCGCAACAATAAAACGAGCTAATCCCGAAAATGACTAATGGTCTTTAGATCGTCAGCTCCGAATAACAAATCGTCAATAAAGCGGTATAATTGCCAATCGGCGTTTGGGTAAATATTTTCATGTAAAATCGAAGACGTTATCGGAAAGTGTTGACCTGCATCGTTAATTAACTGTTGGATTATGCGAAAAGTAAGAAACGATGTGCAAGCAGCACTGTATGTAACAATAACTAAAAAATGATTCGGTAAATGAAACATGATTCTCGCGACTTAGATTACCTGCCTCTTCTGTGGAAATCACATAATGATTATCTATTATCCGGATACTAGGTTAATCAATCGTCATGATCAACGCCGCTTTAGAATTATCGATGTTATTTGGGTTTGTAATTTTGGCCCGGCTAATAAATAAACATTTAGCGACGATCTGTTGGATGTAACACTAGACGCATTTGTTGCGTGAGTCGAGTCGACGAGAGTACTGTGAAGTGCCCGTCGCAGCACAGTAGAACAGAAAGCGATGGTAACAATAAATTATCTCTCGTTCGAATATGAACTTGTCATTATTATATTTTCCGCCTGATAGAGTATTTCTAGTGTGACCGACAGCGTGTCAGTACCTGAGAGCTGAAAGTCGAGAGTCTCCCAGAGTACGATCTCATGTCCTTTTTAATCTCTTTTTATGTCTAAATCAGAGGGGATACTTTTGATGTGTCAGCGTCACTTCGGTGTGGACGCTGACCACTTGGATTTTGGTATTGTATTCGCCAGAATGTAGAGTAGCATTTCTGTAAGGTGACGTTACGTAATTGGGGCAATGTACGATTATAATTTGTTTATGGCAGTCGACGAGTCTAATGGTTATGCTTACAACATCCCTCCCTCGTAAGAGATTGAAAACGGAGGAACGACGTTTTTGCTTACAATAATTTTCTCGTTGACAATATTTTGTGATAATCTTTTATTTTTTAACTATTACATTATTTTTACTCGTTGGTTTTGTTTCGGCGGTTTTCTCCCAATTTACAGCGAGTTATTTCTATATCTTGTCTTATGTCGCTTTTGCATTCAATAACAATTGGATTATTTCCAGTAATAGTTTGTAAATTTCATTATACTAATATTATAACGAAAATTACAATTATAATAGTTATTCCATTCGGCGCAGATGAATAAATTATTAGTAATACAAATAAGTTTCCGCCGTTTTCAAAAGATGGCTCCACCGACAAGATTACTTTGAAATCGTCAGATGTAAAACATCATATAGAAAGTTTGGACACCTGGCAACAACATAACCTTAAAATACTATTGACTTTGTATTGGCAGTATACATTTTTTTCGTTCGAAAATGTCGAGTTTTGTACCGAATAAGCGTTTTGCAGAATTTGAGAAATCGTATTTTTTAGAAGACATATAGAAGTTCGAATATTGTTGGGCAAAATGTATTGAGCCAAAAAGAGACCATGCTGAAAAATAAGTCACATTTTGGTTAAAATCTTTTTTCATCCAAAGTCACAGACTTATCAAATACTCTTCATATTCTTCAGTGTCACTTCAATTTTTTCAGTAATTGCATTCTTTGCATGATTTAAATTTTACCGATATATCAAATATTTTACTAATTCTCAAGAGCGCGAGCGTGGCATGGCAGGCTGCACCCTGGTCTACCATATTAGCGGTCTCATATTCGATCCCAGTAGAAACCAAAAATATATATAAAGTTCGTGTCTTTTTTCGAAAGGCAATGGCAAACCATCAATAGTATTTTTGTCAAGAACACTACTATAAATAATATGCCGTTCGGAACCGGCGTTAAACAGTGTGTCCCATATGCCTGTGTACACATAGCGTACGCACCACAGGCATATAAAAGAGGCCACCTACGCCTGCACAGGTATGGTGCTATTAGAAGAAGACCAAGTAATATGTTGTTGAATTTCCTGATTATCGTTATCATACCGAATAAGAAACTAAAACCTCATTTCTTCCATGTCTCGTTATCCGAGACCGTTAAATGGAGCGTAATATTTCCAGGCATTTAATTTTCTTTTTTTTTTCTTCTACCGTTTTTTGCGCCAGCCAACCTTTTTCGTCAGCACTTCATAGATTGCTTTTGTCGCGAAGTAACAAGTTTTCAAAACAGGCAGAGTAAGCATTTGTTAATATCCCCTGGACTATATTCATGATTCCACAAAACATATTTATTCCTGGTCTGCCAAGATCTGAAAGGCTCATAGTAACAATTCGTCTATTTATATCAAACGCCGTGTTGATCAAAAGACACAAATTTATACGATCAACTCCACAACAACTATATCGCAATTTTGAATTTCAATTCTCGTGCATTTGTTTTAGCAAAAGTAACTTCTTTATAGAACATTTTACAAATAACAAATTTACTTATGGCTGAAAATACCATGAAAAAAATTAAAAATTTTATTGTCGTTGTTTCTATTAATAATGATATTTTTATCTTTCAATGATCACAATATTTTCACCAACGTACTTGTTGAAAAACTTGTATCAGTTTCTACAGTATAACGATTACCATGAAATTTCCCTTTATTCTTTGTTCTGTATATGTATTTTCAAATTTCTTATCCATTTTTCATGATACGTTAACATCTGCTTCGTTTGGGGTTCGAAATTATGCTAAACGAATTCGTATTATTTCAATGTTCATACCGTTCAACCATAGCGTAGGATGACAAAAACACTAGACAAAGGGTAAGTTTGGATTTATTGGCTACACCCCTATCCGATTTTCGAACGTACGGTTGTCTATTGTGCACTGCTCTATGCAAACTTCTATAGCGTTGCCAATTTTTCCAATTTTTAAATAACGCTGTAGAAAAATATTCTCCACACTCATATCCATTCTCCACATTCATATTAAAACTATAAAAAATGCATGAAAAAAATTCAATTTTTTTAAAGTTCTAGATCAAACTACCCCCTTATCGAACGAAATTGTTTTACCAGAATTTCTCGTAATACCAAAAATTGTTGACTATTGGGATTACTTTGATAAAAACTTCGTTTCGTGCGTAAATCCCTAATTCTGGAGTTTCTGAACGCATTTTTCTAATTTTTTGGTAATGGCAACCTTGACTGTCATTGGAGAAAGTGGCTGACATTCCATATGATATGCATTAATTTGTGAGTTCAAAAAACGAAAACGTAATCAGTCTATTGAAATAGTTTAGAATACCTTCCTATATAACTTTAAGTATACATCGATAAGTATTTCATAACTGTTTTAAAAACAAATATATTAAATTAATAGGAATTAAATTATATAAGATATAATATTCAATTGGTTTGGATTTCATAATCTTAACCGTGTTTTTTTTTTGTTTTTTTCACTATGGAATGACTTTGATAACTTATATGGAGTAACTTTGATTACTGATCAATCTCACTCCTTGACTTAAGTAAGTATATAATACATTTTTTATATCATTTCTTTCATATCTTTTGAATTTGGTTTCTTCCGTATCATGTCACGAACAAATAAGAGACAATTAGGTTGTCGCATTTATAAAAAATATACAGAAAATAATTTAAATAAAGCTTTAACTGCAGCGACAGATGAAAGAAAAGATTATATGATGAACAGCCGAAAAATATAATATGCCGTATAGTACACTGCATAATAAATATCACGGGAAATTTATAAGGAAGGCAGGAGCACAAACAGTATTTTAGAAAAAAGGGATATATATTAAAATCTGTTGTTAAATATGCCGAATGAAGATTTTATATTACAATTCTCGATTTGCGTATGTTTGACAAATCATTATTGAATAAACAAGGAAAAACAATAAAAAAATTTTCAACATAACCTTTCTGGCACAGACTGGTTTATTCTTTATGGGGGAAACACAAAAGTGAATATTCACAACATTTTACTAATAATATCAAACTTGCTAGAGCCGCTGCATCTTACAATATGCTCAATGAATATTTCGACAAACTGGAAAAGTCTATGAAGGATATACCACCCTCTAATTTATTATTATGAACCAAATTCTATTGATGACTCAGGAATAAAAAAAGCAGCTTTAGAAGAGGTATTAAACGAGTCTTTTATATTTCAGTATTTATACTGTTCAACCGTAGTGTAGGATGATAAAAACACTAGAAAAAGGGCAAATTTGGGCTTATTAGCTACATCTTCACTCGAGTCTCAAATGTATGATTTCCTACCTGCGCGCTTCAGGATATTAAATATCCCAAAAAGAATATGAATTTTTCTAAAAGTGTCCCCTCGATCATAGTTTGTGGTTTAGCTCATGGTGTTTTTCTGCCTCCATACTTCATATACAAAAACCTCCATTTATATCTTCATTATACAAAGAAAGAAAGAGCTTTATACGACCCGCCATGCTGCGATAAATCATGCTGTTCTCATGGTTCGAGATTTAATAGGACAGTAAATAGATGAACTGATTCAGTCACCTTCAGATATTGGTTTATTATCGCGTTTTTATTTTATGTGAAAAGGTTGCCAGGCCGAAAGGCTTTGATTGAAGACAGTTGAACGTTGAAAATGAATCGATCTTTGACAATTGCGTCGTCAAGATTGAGACGTACACGTACAATCCAAACACCAATACAACTCAATATTATTGCGTATTGTCTCATCTTGTATGATTGCATAGTTGAATACAGTCCACTTACAAAGTGCGCAAAATCAACTTAACATATAGCAGAAACACTACCTCAATGTGTTTAAAAGAAACGCAATAAATGGAGAATTGTCCATATTTAACCAGAGCTCTCTGGGCAATCTCAAAATAGTCCAGGTTGGAGAATATTTCATCATTGTTGAGTCAGCTTTTGTGGGCTTGTAAAGATTCATCATCTGAAAGACATTTATCGTGAAAGAAGTAGCGATATTGAGAAAAAGAACTGTTCTCTCTCACTATGTCTTTAGACCACCTTTCCCTCGGAATCATCTTACAAATTCCAAAAAATTTTCAGTTTTGCGGCTGACCGCTAAATATTATGGATTATTATGGACGGATGGATATATACCTTACTTTAATGCAATGTGTCTGACCAAGGCAGCCCTTGATATAACAGAAGAAGATGGCGACAAGAAACCTTTATTGATATATGTCAAAGGATTTGAAAAGTAGTGATGGTTATAGGATATTCTCAGCTATGATACGGAGAAATTTAATCATCGAGGCATTGGATGCAAAATATTTTACAAAGACAAAAGAAATCTTTAAAGGGAATAGATTCGAATAATATATAACGATGTGAGAAATATCGAAAACACTGCTCGTAATAAAACGTATTTAAAATTTTCAAATCATTTTTCAAGCGAAAATAGATATAATTATATTAATATCATTGTGCTATGCTATTGTGCATTGTGCATTGTGCTTACTAAATATAATACATACAATAAAAAGTTTTTTTATTTCCTATACCGTATATATTTATAAAATAACAAACGTAAAACATTCAAAAAGACATTAGAGGTTTATATGCAGAATTACATCAATGTTTGTAAGATGTCTCTAAAGAGTATTATAAACTTGCAAAAGATGTTTCATTAGTTGTTTTATAAACATTTGTACGTTAATAAAATGCTCAAAAACGTAGTTACCGATTATTTACCGTTTTTCAGCCGTTTCTTTTGTTAATCATTGTTCTTTCTTTAATCGTTTGTCAACTCGTTTATTATGTGGGACGCCATTTATTTGCGCGGGAGAAGGTGAGCAGTGGGTTAGAGAGGGGGCGGATCGCCGCGAACGATCAAACGGGTGCTGGAAAGGTGCAGGCCCACTGAAGATATACCGACCGCTAGAGGAATATCAACGGTCAGAGGGGATATCGATGGTCAGTAATACAATGTGTGAAATCAATCCTCGCGCGTGTGATACCAGCTCTCGCGCATGACGTCAACCCCCGCGCTTACAAGTTCCAATCTTCCCCGCATTCGGAGCTCTTGGATTAGAACCCGTTTAGTATAATTAAAATTTTTATAAACTATATTTTTATGTTCACTTATGCGAATGATTGAATGAGTGAAAAAATTACCCTAAGAGGCAACAATATGTAGATGACAAACAAGCGTTGATAGTAGAAACAGAATTAATTAGAGTTGCAGCATCAAAATACATTTGTTTAAATTAAAATCACTTAACATCATATGTTCAAATAATAATAGAACATTTCTTATATTTTAAAATTTATAGAGTCGATAAACCGCACTTAAAAACTCTCTTCTTTAATTGGACCACTTTTTATTTGTAACATGTGTTTCATGAAACAAATTTTTACTGTGTAAGTTTATTATGTAATTCATCCAACAATACCTAACGGTATTGTAAAACAGTTTCTTCATTGTGTACTATAACAATTACTACTTTTTTAAGCATTGTCGCCATTAATGTCTATGATTCTTCATGACTGGATCAAGTCGAAATCCTGTATCGAGAAAAACGTTATGATACGTCATGCACGATACGCTCGATTAATCTTAGCATGCAGCTACATTATAATAATCTTGACATCAATAGTCTTGATCGTTGCTTCTGGTTTGGGATATACGCTGAGACATATAAAAAATCTTACTGACATAGTCAGACCACTACCCCTGCAAGCTCATTACATATTTGAAACATCCGTGAGTCCACAGTTTGAAGTTATATTTTTCATTAAATGTGTCACGCTACTGATAATTGCATTTTCTTACGCGGGTATCGATAATTTCCTGGGATTACTTATTTTTCACATCTGTGGCCAATTGGAGAATTTAACTAGCCGCTTATGCCAAATGCGCGATTCCAAAGACTTCACAATGGCTTTGAAGATGAACGTTATCGACCACATGCGGCTCATCAGGTATCATACATACCATTTTATATTTGTTATATAATTAACATGTTTGTACAGAGAATAATCATGGGTATGTAAATAAGTGTAATATTTCGTCATTAAAACATCGACGCTGTATTTCGGATAAACCTTTCGAATAAACCTAAAACAGAAAATGCAAATATTGCAATATCAAAGATTCTGCTTTCGGTGACACATGTTTACATAAAAATTGAGACAACGATAAAATATTTTATACTTCATATTTATATTACGTCATGCTATCTCAGATCTTAAAATTTATAATATATTAGATTACGAATCAAATGATAATTCTATAAAATTAGCGTTAAAGGGATTTTACATAAATAATGTGATGTGTGGATATTTTTAAGTTTATTATTATTCTAACTTGAAAAAAAATTAATTTCTTTATCTTTCAGCAAGTTTATACATTAATCAACAGATATTCATATATTTCGAAGGCGAATTTTTCAGTAATATAAACTATTAAACATTTCGAATTTTCTCTATGGAGTTTGAAAGAAAGTCTTAATGATAAAATTATCTTAGCTTCAAACAGTAATTGCAAAGTTAAAAAATAATAACATTCAATAAACAATGTATATAAAATATTATTTTAAAATAAATTATTTATTCTCTTTATAGATCCGTTACCATAATCGAGCATACTTTCACATTACTGCTCTTGCTATTGTTTCTCTATTTCGGTACTGTGTTTTGCGTTTATGGTTTCCTATTCGTTACGGTAAGTGAAAAAAATATAATAAATGAATCTGTTTCGGAAATTAACTTAATTAATTTTCTATATTTTCGTTTTTTTCCAGCACAATTATGATTTCGTTATTCTATATTTTACATATTCTTATACATACATATTTTTTACTTTCATGATTAAAATACATTTGCCACATTTTAATTCCAAAAAGTTTATTTACAATAAGTGTTATTTCGCATATTGAACAGTCAAAATTATTTCAATTAAACATAATTAAATTTATATATACGAGGTGTGTTCAGAAAATAACGGGAATTTTTGTTATTTGAAAAAAATATTTATTTATTCGTCTACATTAACGTTGCCGCCTTCAAAATAGTCCCCATTAGATATTATGCACTTGTGCCAGCGCTTATTCCAATCCTCGAAACACTTCTCAAACTCGATCTTTGGGATAGCCTTTAGCTCTTTCAGCGATGCGCTTTTAATGTCATCTATGCTTGTAAAACGACGGCCTTTTAAGGTTCTCTTTATTTTTGGAAATAGGAAAAAGTCACACGGAGCCATGTCTGGCGAATATGGAAGCTGGGGCATTGTTACAGTATTGTTTTTGGTCAAAAATTCACGAACAAGCACGAACAAATTTTGCTGCCACTCGTTTCATACCCAAAATATTCGAAAAAATTTCATGGCATAAACTAATCGATATGCCAACATCATCAGCGACTTCTTTGATTGTGATTCGGCGATCGTTCATAACCATTTCTTTCACTTTTTCCACGTTTTCATCGGTTGTTGATATGCTGGAGCGTCCGGGGCGTTCGTCATCTTCAACGTCTTCACGGCCATCTTGGAAACGCTTATACCACTCGTAAACTCTTGTTTTATTCATAGCAGACTCACCATAGGCCTTTGTTAACATTTCACACACTTTGTTACACTTTTTTTCACAAAATTTGATACAAATTCTTTGATCCATTTCTTTTAACAAACGAAAATCGTCGAGCTCATAAAAACACGTCTAACCTTAGCGGCTATCACAGACAAAGTAAACAATGAATACAGCTGAAAATTTTATCATATTTCAGGGGCATGTATACCAACATAATAAAAAAAATTTTTGACGATCGGACTCTCCAAACCCGCGAAATTTAAAAATTCCCGTTATTTTATAAACACACCTCATATATATTGGGTTGGCAAATAAGTTCGTTCGGTTTTTTAATCGGAGTAGGTTTACTCGTTCTGCTATCTCTTTTCCACAGCGCTATCGCACAACGCGCTTGCGCAGCTGAAAAACGACGTTTCATCTAACCTATTTGTAAACATACGCCGGTTAATACCAGAGTATTGTGCGTACTGCACGGTTGCAAATATGGAAGAAAAGAACGTCTATTTTCGCCATATATTACTTTTTTATTTCAAAAAAGGCAAACGAGCTGCGTAAGCTCATAAGAAGATTTGTAATGTGTATGGGGACGATGCTTTAACAAAACGTGTGTGTCCAAAATGGTTTGCCAAATTCCGTTCTGGAGATTTTGATGTTAGTGACGCGTCTCTTTCTGGTCGCACAGCAGAGATTGATTCAGCTGTAATAAAGAATACCGTCGACAAAAATCCATCGCAAACAGTACGAGAGATTGCTACGACACTTAATATATCCCATATAAGTGTAGAAAACCATTTGCGTCAGTTGGGATACGTTTCTCGCCACAATGTTTGGGTGCCGCACGAATTGACCGAGGCCAACTTAACCGCTCGCATTTCCATCTGCGACGTGCAGCTGAAACGCCAAGAAAACGATCCATTTTTGAAGCGGTTGGTTACGAGAGATGAAAAGTGGATCGTCTACAATAACGTAGTACGTAAAAGATCATGGGGAAGCAGCAGTGAACCAC